AACAGCTGCCCTCCCACTTCCTCCCAATAGTTGCCTCTTTCCTGTGTGCATCCCTCCTTGCACTCCTGCCCCCTGAGCTGTCTCCCTGTGCGCACACAGCTCTTCTTTCTCCCATGATGTTCTCTCCAAGGAGTGTACCTACCTCAGGTAAATGTACAACTCAAATGCCTGTCTTTTGTTTGGCTTGAAGCCACAGTTGTGGGTTCAATTCCAGACCTGAAGGGGAGCTAGGGGCATAGTCTCAGTGGTTCCACCAGGATCTATCACACCAGCAAACCTGCCCCCCCCCCTTTTTTTCTCCAAATGATTTTGAGTTTTGTTCCACATTGTTCTCCCTCTCTATCCAGGATCTCCTACATAGATCCTCTTCCAAGTGGTTGATAGTAGTAGCTGGGCACCATCTAGTTCTTCTGGTCTCATAGTCATATAGGCTGCAGATCACATGGTGTACCAATCAGTATTTTATTTTTTTGGTAGCTATTGTTTCCATGAATTTTTGGTTTTCTTCATTCTTCTCCTCTTCGAGGAGAGACCCATAGTTGCATCTAGATGGCTGCTTGCAAGCTTTTAAGATTCCAGTCACTACTTGCCAAAGTAGGAGGTAGAACAATGTTTTGTGTAGTATGCTATGCCAATTGAGCTTGATGGCCCTGTGACTACAGTCCTGATCTCACAGGTTCAACTACTCAGTCCCTCTGGATAGCTGGCTATGACCAAGAAGTGACTAGAACCTTGCCCCTTGTCAGTTCTATTATACACCTGGTATTTCAAATCATATAAATAAACTTATAGGGCCACTGTCTGCCAATCCTATACATGGTGTTGGGTATACTTCCCACTTCATAGACAGACCTACTAGTTCAGCCTGTCCACCCATCTACCCAACCGTATACCCATGATTGCTTTCACTGATAATGCAGTACTGTATGTGCAAAAAGGTTCATCTTTGTTGTCTGTACCTCCCATGTACCCCTCTATGTCTTTCTCTTCCTCAATGCCACCATGTTGATTACTCACATTTTGTACATTGCCCTTCTCTTCACCCAAATCAATGCTTATCTCTATCTATCTAACAGTGTTCCCTCCCCTCCCCTCCCCTCCCACCCCTGGTAACCAACAAAGAAAATGTCTTTCCATAGATAAACCTTCCCTTGACTTTTACAGTAATGGACTAATACAATATTTGTCCTTTTGTGATTGACTTATTTCACTCAGCATAATTTCCTCCAAGTTTATCCACATTATGCGGTGTTTTGCAGATTCTACATTATTCTTTAGTGTTGCATAGTATTCCATTGTGTATATATACCATAGCTTGGTTATCCATTCCTCAGTTGATGGACACCTATGTTATTTCCATCTTTTGGCTATTGTAAATGGTGCTGCGATGAACATGGGTGTGCATATGTCTGTTCTTGTCATGTTTCTCACTTCTTTAGAATATATACCTAGTAATAGCATAGTGGCTAAGACACTTGCCTGCTAACCAGACGGCTGGCGGTTCAAACCCACCAGCCACTCCTCAGAAGGAAGGTTGGGCAATCCTA